TCCTATTAGAAGCATAATAAATATTTGACTTCTCTATGAAAGGTTAACATCATCACTATATTTCCTAAAACAGAAAAGAGAAGTGGACAAAGCATTTCAAGTGATCAGGAAGAAATTCCTTGAACTATATTTGTAACTTTTTTCCTAATTAGATTATTTAAAAATTTTTAAAAATTAAAAGATTATGATTAAATGCCAGATCATATTTACAATATTTTTGTCCTATTTGTGGGATATTACTTTGTACTGTGTGAATATATGTTGTTATGGTTGGTTTAATAAACAAGTTGACTGGCCAGTAGCTGAACAGGATAAGGTTAGGTGGGAAAGTAAAACTGAGAATGTTTGGAGAAGAAGGGCAGAGTAAGGAGCTGTCAGCAGACACATGGAGAAATAAGATGTGCACCCCATACTGAGAAAATGTCCCAAGCAACAGGGCAAAATGTAGACAAGATATATGGGTTAAACTGAATATAAGAGTTAGCTAGTAACAAGCCTGAGCTATAACACAGAATAACTCCGCCTACACCTATTTTTCCCTCCTATTAAAATTTATACATAATACTCATTCTTTAGGTTAATGTATCTTTAACTGATATTAAGTGAAGTTGCAGCTCAAAAGTAAAAAGAAAATAACAAACACAAGATAAGGAAAGCATGATGAGAAAAGATGAGAGGCCTTAAGCAAAGACTTGGCCACAAATTGGATGAATTAGTAACACAGCATCATTGTGAAACTATGTTGTGTCCAAGGACATGCCAGAGGAAGGTCTGACTGGACACAAGACCTTGCATATAATGGGCAAGTATTCTACCACTAGTTACACCCACAGGCTCTATATGTTCTAGCTGTCATCAAGCTCTTTCTACTTAAATGTTTCCCTCTGTTTTATAAGCCTAAAGGTGAACTTTTTGGTGTACCTTCTCATAAAAATTGTCTTTCTCAAGTACATTATTTATAGAAAAGATGTCAACATTCTTGTTTGTTCAGTAATCATTTACTGAGTGCCAACGGCTAATTGCTGTATCAAAACAGTTCCTGTCCTCATGCTGCTCTCTGATGAGGATTAGCCATTTGCTTAATTTACTGCAACAGATTCCTAATTTACTGTAATAATTTTTCTTTCATCCCTTCATACTTTATAACACCATCAGACTCACCCCCTTGTGACCTTATTTTGTAACATTCTGTACCCTTAGTTGAGATGGGGACTGAGCAAGTGACTCAGTTGGGAGAGTGATTGCCTAGCATGCATGAAACCCTGATTCCTAGCCCCAGCACTATACATTCAAGGCACAACAGTGCAGGACCATAATCTCAGCATTTGGGAGGTGAAGGCAGAGGACAAGGTCATCTTATGTTACCTAGCAAGTTTGAAACCAGGATGATCTACATGAAACCCTATCATCAAAACAAACAAAACAAAATCCAAAGCTGTAAGAGAGAAAACATAATTGTTCTGAACGATGTAAGTATTCATTCGTTCCCCCTACCCTCCCTCCCTGTTTTTTGACAAAGTCTTGCTATGCAGTCATGGCTGACCTAGACCTCTAACTCATAGAAACTCACCTGACTCTCCTCTGCCTCATGAATGCTTCATCACCCCACTTAGGCCAATCCCCGAAGTTGTGAAGAGTGTAGCAGACTTCTAAGTAAAATATTGAAGGTGTGGTTTTAGTCTTCAATGCATATAGTAAAATGCAAAAAGGAACTACAATTTAGAGATTAATTATTTTTTAAAAAGATATATTTTAATTATATGTATATGTGTTTATCTGTGTGTTGATATGTGTTATGTGCAAGTTCCCATGGAGTTCAGAAGAGGGCACTGAACTGGAGCTGGAGTTACATGTGTTTGTGAGCTGCCTGACATGAGTATGGGAACTGAATATGGATCCTCTGGAAGAACAGTATAAACTCTTAACCACTGAGTCATTCTATTATTTACAGGAACTAAAGATTAATTCTTATCCTGTTTATATGATATATGATGTATATACATGCACACACATATAATATGTTTGGAAGACACTATCAGGGGTGTGACAAACATTATTGATTTGAAGGTTAATGTGTTTGTAGATTTCAACAGAAGCCAAAATAGAGAAGGGATTTATTTGCAAGCAGAAATATTCATATCTAGAAGTAAATGCAACAGAAAATGGAATGCAATGAATGGAATATATATATAGTTTGATGAAATTATGTCACTTAGGGTGATAATGCTCCCCCCAAGAGCCATAGACTATCAAAAACCCCAATATTAGGCATAAGAAACCTTCTTTTGAGTTGCTGGTTAGGGGAGTTCAAGAGATTCCAATGTAGACAGAGTTTCTTTTTCCACCTGGTCCCACAGATGCTTTGCACCAAATAAACACATAGAGACTTATATTATTTATAAACTGCTTGACTGATGGCTTAGGCTTTTTATTGGCTAGCTCCCTCTCTTAATTGTTAATCTATAACTATTAATCTATGTATTTCTACATGGCCTTATCTTACCAGAGAAGGCTCCACCTTCAGCAGCTACATGGCATCGCACCTTCAACCTCTCTCTGCGTCCTCTCCTCAGAATTCTCTCCGTGCCCATCTATACTTCCTGCCTGGCTAATGGCCAATCAGTGTTTCATTCATCAACCAATAAGAGAAACATAATTCAGAAGGACATCCCCATCGCCTCAAAACACTACAGGGTATTGCTATTGCTCCTGGTTGCCTCCTACACGTTGAAGGTAAGTCCCCCACACATGACTCAAAGGAATCGAGCTGGATATAACACAAAAGCATCCTCCCTGAGGACTAGCTTTCATAGTACTGGAAGGTGCTATGTGAACTGCCAAGAAAAGAAAGCAATCAGGAGTCCTATCTAGCTATGATACTATGAACTACAACAATGACTAGCACATTAAGAAATCCCTAAAGGTGTTAACAGTGGCACTTATATCTTGGTGGTAACCATAACTGTCTAATAGGACTTAAGGCCCACTCAATAGCAGGAGAATCTTGCTTGGTACTGGAAACACCCAGCCAGTTGGCCGTCGCTAGTGAGGTCCGAGATATTAGAGGAAAATTTACTACTGCCAGTTTCTTAAGCCAGTACAATTCCTAATTGCATTCTAAATACTTCAGTGAATTCTAAGACCATATGTAAAGCTTGAGTTATCTCAAGTTAATATCCAGAGATCTTTAGATCTTTAGATTGAATCTATAAGGAAATATAAGAATCTTTGGATTCTTTTTAAAACTCTAGTGAGAGTAATGTTTACAATGCTTCTGGTAAAATGTCTACTGAGTTTCTGTCTCCTAGACTTACACAAAATGAGATTTGACCATCAAATCTTCTTTAAGAAAGTAAGAAATCAAGCTTTAGCCAAAATATATGTGACAGTAATGAAAGAAAAACTGTTGCCAATAATCTGTTACTAAAGAAAAGGAACTATACTTTTAAGTTACGATAGGTTAGCAGTAACAAATGCCTGATAATTTTTATTTCCATTTCTTTATTTTAGCATACACTAATTGAACAGGACAATTGGTTTCATTATTAGAGTTCATACATTTAAATAACTTTCTTTGATTATATTTCTTCCTTTTGTCCCTGTTCCCTGTTTCCTTTCTCTTCTCAAATACTCTTCTTTCTACTTTAATGTTTTATTTTTAAAATCTAGATTCCACATATACAGAACATGAGACAGTCTTTCTGCATCTAGCTTATCTAGCTTAACATGAATATTTCCAGTTCACCCATTGTTTCTATAAATGACATAATTTAGCTGGTTAATGTCTTTATAATAAGTATACTTATTATATTCATTGTACATATTACTCAGAATGGCTCACCATTTGATTGACTTTAGGGGATATAAACACATAATTGAGTAGAACTTTCTAGACAGAGGTTCCCTTTGTGGCATAGGCTAGCTTCAAGCTAGCTATGTAGCCAAGGATGACCTTGAACTTTTTTTTTCATTATATTTTTTAGAAAAAAGCTCGCTTCACATGTCAATCCCAGCTCCCGACCTTGAACTTCTGATCATCCCACCTCCACTTCCTAAGTCCTTCAATTACAGATATAGAACACCACCAATGTCTGGCTTATGCTGTGCCAGGGAATCAAACCCACGATTTTGAGCATGCTAAGCAAGTACTCTATCAACTGAGCTACATCTCCAGTACCCAAGAGACTTGATGAAAAATGAGCCCAAACTAGCCTCCTATACCATTGAAAAACAATCAACATTTGAAATCCTTCTGAATTAGTAACTGAATTCTTAAAGCAGTTCCACTTATTTATTTCTAAAATAGTATTTATCTATTTTAAAAAATAATTTTTTAAATGTAAAAAGCTTTAATTGTGTATGGGTTTTGTCTGCACATATATTTATGTACTATGTAAGTTCCTAGTGTTCTCAGACGCCAGAAGCGGTGTTGGATCCCCTGAGACTAGACTTACAGACAGTTATAAGCCATCATGTGGCTCTGGGAATTGAATCTGGGTCCTCTGCAAGAGGAGTCAATGATCTTAATCTCTCATGTCCCTATCTAGATTTAAAAAAATCTTTTTGTTGGTGTCAGGGTGTGTGTGTGCACCACACCACGTGTGTGGGTGCCCACAGAGAACAGAAAAAGGCTTTGCATACCCTGGAGCTGAAATTACAGATAGTTGTAGTTGTGAGCTACCCCATGGGTGCTAGAAATTGAACTTGGGTCCTCTGGAAGAACAACAGCACTCTTAACTTCTGAGCCATCTCTCCAGTCCTGTTTGTTTGCTTTTGAGACAAAGTTTGGCTAAGTAGCCCATTGTCCTGTTTCAGCCTCCTGAGTGTTGAGATTTACAGGTGGGAGTTACCACTAAAATAGCAGTTCCTTTTTTTTTTTTTTTTAAAGTATCAATGGAACATCTTGTAAAACCAGGACAACCTAATTCAGCAAGACTAAAAAAGATTTAGGGAAAAGATATAACAACATAAACGCCATAAGATGAAATGAACAAACATACCTTCTGGGCTGCGACCGGCATTCCTCCTCCCCACTGTCAGCCTCCTGTATAAACAGAAATAGAAAAAAATTAAAATGGTCTCATTACTAATAGAATTTAACTAACCCTTTTATGCAGAAATAAGTCATTCATGTTTATCTGCATTTAAAAACTAAATTTTCTTCATAAAAGATGATTAACACTAAATGAAGAGACTGATAACACTAAAATATATTCCTGAAAGAAATATCAGCAACAGTCTACAAATTTCACTGAAAACAAAGTGCTACTCATTAAAATAATTACATCTGAACACCAACCAAATATGTTTTATATTGTTATGTTACTTTAAAATTAGTATTCATCATATTTACACCAAAAAACATTATCAAAATGACCTATAATTCTGATCCACAAAGAAAAGCCTAAACAATGAGCAAATATTCCAAGTGCTTATGGAAAACCGCCAGTGCCATTAACAGGATGGCTACCCAATTATTGAGAACTTACAATGTTCCAGGCACTGCATATGACACATTAAGTACATTGTCTTTTCGTTGCTGTTATTGTTTTGGTTTGTTTTTTATTTTTGAGACAGTGTTTCTTTGTGTAGCCCTGGCTATTCTAGAACTCACTTTTAGACCAGGTTGGTTACAAATTCCAAGAACTGCATGCTTCTGCCTCCCAGTGCTGGGATTAAAGGTATGCACCACCATGCCTGGCATTATTGATTTCTTAAAGGGGATGGAGAACACCAAGGAATCAAGGTCTTCTAGGTACAGCAGTGCAGGCTTCTTACATATGAACTCACAGAGAGTGTGGCACCATGCACTGAGCCTGCTGGGGTCCTACACCAGACGGGGTCCCATTGAATAAGCAGACACATGCCTCCATCCTTAACCGAGAAACTATCTCCAACTGATGGTCACTTGGAAATAAAAAAAATGATTTTCTCTAAGGGAATCTCACTGGGAAAACAAACTACTCTTACTGATAGTAGACTCCATATCTAACAGTAGACGATCAATACAAAACAAACTCAACTAAATCTTTGGAGGTTCTTTGTCTTGTAATGTTAAGTCAGGGTACATGTAAGAGGATAAATGAATAAGACACATGGAATCAGGACTGGTGAGATTGTTTAGTAGGGAAAGTGCCTTCCCCTTAAGCCTGACAATATGAGATGGTAGAAAGAGACTCCACTAAGTTGTTGCCTAATTTCCTAATATGTGCTGTGGCATGCATTTACAAGCACATATATACATACAATAAACAAATACACCATGTAATAGTAAAACTATAGTATTTTTAGTGGCACATGAAATAATTACTAAAACTCAGTAAATGTTTTATCAATTAAGAAAGCAAAATTCACAAAAAGGAAATAAGTTGTCCAAGGAAACTCATAGGGTGATGCTACAATTAAAACCACAAGAATATTCCTATTGTAGAATATTATTTTTAAGGTGTGTTACTTTTTTATGCTCTGGAACATTTGTTTAATGATGCAAAGATACGTTCGATTAAATAAAATTCACCTTTTGTCAGGAGGCTGGAGCAACTATCTGACAGGAAGTTGTAGGGAGGAGCCAGGTGGAGGATTTATAAAGAGGGCTAGGAGAGCATGAGGACTTCTTGGGAGACTCGAAGAGGTGAGCTAAAGCTGCTTGGTATTTATTCAGCCTCTCTGGGAAGCAGGATTCTACCTCAACCTTTGAATCTTGAGTTCTTTAGTGCAACAGAGATTTAAATAAGTCTCATTAGAAAGAGTCAGTGCCTGTGGGAACTAGCTGCTGCTGGTGGTGGTGGAGTGGCCATAGCTTAAACTAAAGAGAAAAACAACACATTCCCTTCGGGCTGGTTGAAAACTATCATTTATCTATGACTGGCCTACATTAGGACCTAGTTATGTTAGTATAAGATACAGACCTTCAGAGACAAGAATATTGGTGATGGAAATGTGAGAAAAGATGATAGAATTAATGACACTATAAGGACTTTTTATATATACATTTGCTTCTTGATTTTAATATTTGTTCTGTCATCACTTTTGCATACTTTGGGAAACACAGGAGCAGTAACTCATGTGTGTACTGTTTGCCAGTGAGTAGCCTATATTTTGTGGTTTATACAGCCATCCCCATTTACCTCTACATCATCCCACCTCCATTCCTGGAGATCCATGGCCAACTCTCTCTTCTTAAACTTTCATTCTTCTCTCACACATTACACCATGCAGTTTCACCTCTCTCTACTCCTAGCTCCTCTCCCGCTTCTCCATATAAACTCCTCCTTGGCTCCCTTTAAAATAAAGCAGATCTCCCAGGCTCCCAGGGATATTCACCAAGCATGGCCTAACAAGATAGAATAAGACTGGGCACAAGTCCTCATACCATGGCTAGATGTGGCAACCCAGTAGGAGGAAAAGGGTGCCAAGTCAGGTAAAAGAGTCAGAGACCTCCTGCCTCTTCACTCCCACAAGAATACGAAGCTACACAATCATAAGGTATGTGCAGAGGACCTAGTTCAGACCCATACAGGGTCCATGTTTGTAGTTTCAGTTTCTTTGAGGCCCAATGGGCCCTGCTTAGTTGATTCTGTGTTATGGCCAACTCTTAATGTTTATTCCTATGTTATTCTTAATATTGATTTAAATTTAATCATTGCTATTTTTTTCTGCTAAAGAAAGAACACTGCGGAGATCCTATTCCTACAAGGAGGGTACAGGGTGTCCTAGTGCAGTAACCTTTGCTGTGGAATAGGTTTTAGGATCAGAAGATACGGTCTTTAAGAACTCATAAAAAGAAAGTGTTAAAATGGAAAAGAACTGAATAGGAAAATACACAGAACCTGGAAAGCTTACAAAAACGAGAATGAAGGATTCACTGTAGTGGCACATACCCTTTATCCCAGCACTCAGGAGGAGAGGCAGATGGGTCTTCAGACCTTGCTAGGCAGTCTAGAAAACCAGTAGGCTTCAGGTTCAACAGGGGGCCCCAGTCTCAGAACAAGGTGGGGAAGTGATAAAGGAGGATTCCTACATCAAACTCTGCCCACCACCACACACACAAGTACACATGGACTTGCATGTATATATGCATGATCACTCAGGCACACACACAGAAACACACAGACACATACAGATGAACAAGGACACACGATGTGCCCAAAGAATGATTTCTTGTGAGATAATTTAATTAAATAGTGCTTCATTATTATTATTATTATTACTGCTTAAATATCTCTCAAACTCTGACATATTCCTCTCACACTTTTATTATATGAAATATTATATAATGAAGACTACTTTAACATATTTAAGTAATGGAGTAAAGTAGTAAAATGAACACTATTCTACTTAAGAGCGAGAATAGTATTCAATACCTTGTATCCTTTATTTGTTTTTGATTCCTGTCTGTCTTCATGATGCATTAAGCTAAAGTTTACAATACTCTTATTTTCCACTCAATTTTATTGTAAGAATATCTCAAATACATAGGAAAGTTGAAATGCCATAAAGTAAACCTGTATATCCACCATTTAGATTTTATCATTAACATTTTTCTCTATTTGTTTCATCATTTATCTATTCATTCTGCCCATCTATCAACCTATTCTTTTTCTTTTCACTTTTATTGAGATAAAGTCTTGCTCTATAGATCAGACTTGAGTCAATCTCAAGTGCTGAGGTTACAAGTGTGAGTCACCACATCCAACCATCGGGTAATCAGTCTTGAAGGAAAGCTGCTTTCTCTATTGAGCCATCTTGCTAGTTCATGACTATATTCTTAATGTATCATTTACGTTGACTGTCTAATGGCTTCAGATTTTATTAGAATGTATGTGTGCTTGCCAATAAGTATTTGCTTGCTTTTTAAGAATGTGGGGATCAGGCCCAGGACATTGAACATGCTGGACATTTGCTCTTTAAAAACTAAACACTGGGCGGTGGTGGTGCACGCCTTTAATCCCAGAACTCGGGAGGCAGAGGCAGGCGGATCTCTGTGAGTTCGAGGCCAGGCTGGACCGACAGCCTTGAAAACAATACAGAGAAACCCTGTCTCGTAAAAACAAAACAAAAAAAACAAAAAAAAGAAGAATTTGATAAAAACTAAATACCATTTTCACTAGGTTCATATTACTTATTACATATAGCTTCACCTCATGTATTTTTACTGAGGAATTCATACATTCATTTATGTAATTATGTCAAAATTTATTAATTCTTAAATTGGATTATTTACAATTTTTTGACAACATAACATTGCTAGCCATACTCTTCCACTTTTTTCTAGTCTACATGCAGAAGAGTCAACAGAACATATACCAACAAGTGAAGCTATTCAGTTATAAGATAAAGAATCAACTTTAAAAAGAACATCAAGTGGTTGTGCGGACTTGTTTCTACAAGGATGGAGTAGGACCTTAATGAGTTGAACTAAGTCCAAGATAACAGTAGAATCACTGATTTTTTTGCTGATCTTCAATTTCTGCCAGCCTGTTAGATCTTATTCTGATCTTAATTTCCTTTGCTTTGATGTTAATTAAAAAGGTTACATTCATACATGTTTACGGGCTGTTGCTGTTTTCACATCTTTGCCTTCATTTCTAAAATGCATACCCCCAAAGAGAAACAATTAAATCATTTTCAGCTCTTCGGAGTTTTCTATTTATGAGAATCACAATAAAAATATGTAAAGAATATGCAGAGCAAAAAAAATCTTTGATGCTTCCTTACAAAACACAAATAGCTCAAATCATCAATATCTACAGAGGCTAATTATCATTTATTAAGCACAAGTATGGACTAGGTTCTTCATATTTCATTTCATTTACTGTATACTGCAACCTCATGGGACATGTGCAAAGCTAGTCAGTAGTAAAGTCATCATACGAATTCAATTTTATCTTTCCATTATAACTAGTTTTCTCTAACCTAAGAATCTGACTTTATATTCCAAAATGGGTGGGAAAGAGCTAGGAAAGAAAGCTTATACTTTTACATGCTTACAAAATAAAAAAAAATACCCTTTGTATCTTTATCACATCTAAGAGTGGCAAATAT